AGCTGCAGCAGCATCTGCACGAACGGCTGCAGCAGCAGCTCCTACACCAAGATCAGTCTTGCGGAGATGAGATATTTGAAGGAGACGACGATGAGGAGCTTCTCAGTATACTGCAGCAGCAGCAGCAGCAGCAGCAGCAGCACGAGAACTTGGGCATGCTTCGCGGCCTTCAGCAGCACTCGCAGCCACGCCCAAGCCACCGCCACATTTCGGAGCAGGAGCACCTCTACCATCTGCAGCAGCAGCAGCAACTGCAGCAGCAGCAGTTGCAGCAGCAAAGGCTGCTGCAACAACATTTGCTGCAGCAGCACCAGCCCTTGCATCCACAAGAAGAAGACCCTTCACAGTGGGACTAAGAGGCAGCCATTGGCTAGAACCTGCTGCTGCCGCTGCCGCTGCTGCTACTGCCGCTGCTGCTACTGCCGCTGTTGCTACTGCCGCTACTGCTCACGCTGCAGCAGCAGCAGCAGCAGCAGCATGATAAATATGGACACAAGTACACGAGCCATGGCGCGTCCAGAGGACGGCCTGCTGCTCTCCAAAGGCTGAGTTTAATGCGAAGGCCTTGCGGCCTCATCTGCAGAGGCAGCAGCAGCAGCTGCAGCAGCAGCAGCAGCAGCAATATCTTGAGAGTTGAGGGGCCCTTCGCCACTACTAAGGCTCGGGGCGGCTCAAGTCACTGCTGCTGCCTTTGCTTCTTCCTCTGCAGCTTCTGCTGCTGCTTCTGCTGTTGCTTGTGCTGCAGCTACTACTGCAGCTTCTGCTGCAGCTTCTGCTGCAGCTCTTGCTGTGGCTACTGATGCAGCTGCAGATGCAGGTACTGCTGTTGCTCCTGCTGCTGGTACTGCTTTAGCTACCGCTGCAGGCACTGCAGCTACTTCTGCTGCAGCAACTGCTGCTGCAGCTGCTGCTGCTGCAGGTGCTGGCAGCAGTGGTGTGGCTTTAGCATACTTACCCAGGGGGCTAGTGGCTGCGGCATTGTTAAAAGAGACAAAATGCAGTTAACAGTTGAGCGCCTCCTGGGGCCCCCAAGGGTCCCCTAGGGCCCCCTTAGGGGCCCCCTAGGGCCCCCTTAGGGGCCCCCTAGGGGCCCCCTAGGGCCCGCCTAAGGGCCCCCTAGGGGCCCCCTAGAGGCTTCTTAGGGGCCCCCTGGTGGCCCCTTGGGGGCCCCCCTAAAGCAAAGAAAAAGGAGGCAGCTTAGTGAACCGCCTACAATACTTTTTCGACCGAGACATTGCCACGTGGTGCAGCAGCAGCAGTAGCTGCTGCTGCTGCTGCTGCTGCCAGTGCAGCGACAGCAGCAGCAGCAGCTGCCGCTGTAGCGGGAGAGAAGCAGCAGACACAAAGCATTGCCGAGCAGCTTCTGCTGCTGCGGCAAAAGGAGACACACTGGAGACAACCCGGGAGGCACGGAGATACTCGAGAGAGGCAGAGACAGGCAGCAGCAGCAGCAGCAGCAGCAGCAGAGTCAGGCAGCAGCAGCAGCGGCACAGGGAGAAACAACAGAAGCAACACAGAGAGAGACAGCGACAGCATCAGGGACAGGCAGCAGCAGGAGACATTGCTGTTGCTGCCGCTGCTGCTGCCTCAGGCAGCTGCAAGAGAAACTGGAGACAAAGAAGCACAAGGCCATTGCAGACTTCTGCGGCAAGGCCGTTGTTCCCAGATGCAGCAGCAGCACTGCTGCTGCTGCTACTACTGCTGCAGCTCCAGCAGCAGAATTGCTGCTGCTGTTGCTGCTGCTGCTGCAGTCTTCCCTAGATGCATCAGCAAATTCGCCTTCCTCGAATTATTCAGAAGCAAAATACAAAAAAGACAAAGAGACACAAAAGGGACAAATAGAAAAGCAAAAAGGAAGCGAAAGAGACAAAAGAAAGAAAAGAAAAGAACAAAAAGCTACATTTTTGCTGCTGCTGGCATTTCGTCGCTGCTGCTGCCCGTTTTGTATCTTCGACGGAACTCCTCGTAAGCAGCAACCACGTGGGGGGGCACAGACCGCCTGCAGCAGCACACACAGTCAGCAGCAACAAACGACTGCTGCTGCTGCTGCAGCAGCTGCAGCAGCAACAGCTGCTGCTGCTGCTGCTGGCTGCGGGTGCTCTGCAGCCACTCTGTCGGCAGGGCTGCTGCTGCTGTTGCTGCTGCTGCTACTGCTGCTGCTGCTACTATTACTGCCGACGCCACCGCTGCCGCTACTGCTGCTGCTGCAGCAGCAGCAGCTGCTGCTGCTGCTGCTGTACCTTGCGTCTTTGGCTGCGAGGTCGAAGTGCCTTTTGGAAAGTTCCTTCAAAGGACTTTTTCCTTTTTCTTCTCTTTCAATACTTTCTCGAATTGCAAACTTCGCCGCCCGCTGACACAGCCCCGTCAAATCCGCTCCTGAGTCAAAGAGACACAGCCACCCGCCAGCTGCTGCTGCTGCAGCTGCTGTTGCTGCTGCTGCTGCTGCTGCTGTTCCTGCTGCTGTTGCTGCTGTTGCTGCAACTAGTTTTGCCTCTGCTGCTGCAGCGGCTCCTGCAGCAGGTGCGGCGGCTGCTGCTGCTACGCTGCTGCTGCTGCAGCAGGTGCCTCTGCTGCTGCTGCTGCTGCTGCTGCTGCTGCTGCTGCTGCTGCTGCGGGTCACCTGAGAATCCGTCAGTGAGGGTGGCGAGTTTGTTGATGTCGACGTCAGCAGCAATTGGAGTTCTTTTTAAATTTGCTTTTAAAATACTTTCCCGACTTTTCAAATCTGGCAAAGGAATGTACAGCAGCTGGTCAAGACGCCCAGGGCGCGTCACCGCAGGGTCCAGGATGTCCGGCCTGCGCGCCCCAAACCCTAAACCCTAAACCCTAAACCCTAAACCCTAAACCCTAAACCCTAAACCCTAAACCCTAAACCCTGGGACTTTGAGCCCGGGCTGGGGGCCGGCGTGGGCTGCAGTGCGGAGCCTGCGAAACGGCGGTTTCAAACCCTCTGCCTGTGCTACTTCAGCCTGCTGCTGCTGCTGCTGCTGCTGCTGCCGCTGCTGCTGCTGCTGCTGGGGTACCTGTTGGTGGCCCCAATGATGAAAATTTGCTTCTGCTTTCCAATTCCATCTATTTCCGTCAGTATTTGATTTATGACGCGGTCTGAAGCTTCGCTTCCAGACCCTCCTGCAGCAAAACACCTCACTATTTGCTGCTTCTTTGAAAGCCTGCTGCAGCAGCTGCTGCAGCAGCTGCTGCTGCAGCTGCTGCAGCTTGTTTCTCAAGCCCACCTCAAGGTGCTGCAGCAGCAGCACCTTGACTCCGTTGGAATAACACTAATTCAGCCCGCATTAACATTTAATGAATAGCATTTATTTGATGGCATTTATTAAAATGGCATTAAATAAAATGGCAATGATTCAGTGGCGCTTATTTAAACGGCATTAAATTAAATTCCATGTATTTAATGGCATTTATTTGAATGGCAGTTATTTAATAACATGCACTTAATGGCATGTATTTGAATGGCATTTGTTTAAATGGCATTTATTTAAATGGCATTAAATTAAATGGCATTTGAACAGCATTCATTTTAATGGCATTTAATCAAATAGATTTTGATTTAGTTGTATCCTTCTTTAAATGGCGTTAAATTAAATTAAATGGCACTTATTTAAATGACATTTAATTAAATGGAATTTGATTTAACGGCACTTGTTAAGCACCATTAAATGGCATTTATTAAATGGCACTTATTAACTGAAATTTATTGAATGGCATTTATTAAATGGCATTTATTAATTGGTATCTACTTAAATATGTGTCTGAGTGCCGCCGCTTTTGCTGCTGCTGCAAAGAGACAAAATATCTGTCTCCTTCTATCTCTCTTTCTGTTTAGTTTTCTTTCGTTTTATCTCTTTTTCTGTCCTCTTTTTGTTTCTTTCTATATCTTTTTTTGCCTCGTTTTGTGTCTTTATTTGTCCTCTATTGCCTGTTTATTTGTCTCCTTTTGTCCTTTTGTTTGTCCCCTTTTGTCCTTCTTTCTGTCTCTTTGTTTTATTTTCTTGTCTCTTTTTGGCTTTTATTTATGTTTTTATCTCTTTTTCCACCTCCTCTTCATTCCTTCATCTGTCTCTTTTTATATTTACTTCTTCTAAAATTTTCCCAGTATTTCTTTTTGATTTGTTATTTATTTGTTTTTATTTATTATTTATTTTTCACTGCAGTTTGTCTCACCTCCTCCGCTGCCTCTGGTTTTTGCAATTGAATCAATTTCGTCGAAAAAGATAATGCAAGGAGCAGCAGCTCTTTGAACAAACAAACAAAACCCAATAATCAGCTTTTCAGGAGCAGCAGCAGCAGC